ACACACACACACACACACACACACACACAATCACACACAATCACACACAATCACACACACAATAGTGGTCAGATGTGTGTGGCACACAGTGGCCACCTCTGCATAAGAACTAACTTGGAGTCCTTTATTCTCTGTCTCCCGTGATGGTAGGAATACTGCCATGTATGTCTACAGAGGATGCAGGTAACCATGGTAGAATCTGAGAAGTGCAGGCAATGCAAGCCACTCAGTACTGGTCTGTCACCTCAGAGGACAAATGTTGGGTGTGCCCTTCAATATGAGTGGCCCAGTCATTAGATGAGCAGCTGAGGTCTACTGTCTTATATAACCTGCCAGGGTGTAGCTTTCTATGTGGTGGATGGATTGCTATATCATTGACAGCAGCAAAGAGGAGCAGTTTCAAGGCAACATTAGCCAGACCTACAAGAGCATCCTTGAGTCCTGCTCTGAGGTTGGGTGGCTAGGTGCATTTTGGTTCTGTAGAATAAAGGCTAGAGCAGAACAGCTTTCCAAAGCCCAGTGAACAGCCCAGGTTTCAGCTCAGCAGAGGCATCAGTGAGCCAAGCTCAGCATTGAGGAGACTATGTGGAGAGACACACACAATCGACAGTTCTACACTGGGCAGCAGCACCAGAGATAAAGTCTACCCCAAGAGGTCATTGACTTCCCATATCATCTCCAGATGTCTCTGGAAGCTAGATTGCAGTATTCTTGAGTGTTCCATTTCCATTTGACAAGTGATGGGCTCAGGGTGTCACTCATGAATAATCATGACACAATTGTACACAAGATATTTAGCAAACTGAACTCATCCATATATGTCAGCAAGGTCAGATTTATTCCAGGGATACAAATTAGATTACTACCACAAATAAGGCACTGGCAGTCTCCTGCTCCCAAAATCAATGAAGGGGCTAATGGCAGATCTGTCTGTCTAGCCCAGTGAGAGGAGAGACAGTCAGAATCTTACTCCTAAATCAACCTAAGCTTCTGAGACTCCAAGATTGAGACAGAGGAGGCCTTTCCACCCACAAAATCTAGGTGGGGGAAGAAGTTTAGTAAGACTTGGGATACCATAGCTGTGATCTGGTTTTACCTGTAAAGGGCTTTTCACCAAACTCTTGGCTGTGCCCGGGGTGAGGCTGACAGCCAGATCTGAAAGACTTAGAAAGTAGAGCTGGGGCTTAGAGCCACCATGGGGAAGGCCGTCAGCAAAGCAAGCCCTTATGAAAAGGATGTTGTCTGCTCTGCGACCACGGGAAGATTTGTTCGCTGTCTGCCAAAAGAAAGGAATCTCTGTCCTCTCCTGTCTTCCCCACCCCCGTGTGTGTGTGTGTGTGTGTGTGTGTGAGAGAGAGAGAGAGAGAGAGAGAGAGAGAGAGAGAGAGAGAGAGATCTGCTTCTGTCTGGCTCCCTCTGTGTCTCTCTCTCTCTCTCTCTCTCTCTCTCTCTCTCTCTCGTTTTTTGCAGTTCATTATAAATGTAAAGGCATGGGGTTTACAAAGCTTCAAGTCTCTCAGCTTCAGCATAGACCACTGAGAGAAGTGCCCATCTGTGCCTGTCTTCCCACCACCCCTGTGAGATATGGGGGACAAGAAGATCTGGCGTTGACAGGAAGCTCCTACTGCTTACTGTGCTGTGGACAATAAAGTCATTTGTCTCTGGTCTAGGAGCCTTTATCCAGTGCCCAGGAAACTATGGCAGCTGGCTGTGTGTGTTCACAGTGTACAAGGTGTGCTTCATATGCATTTGCATTGTGAAATAACTACCATGGTTAAGTTCTTAGACTGTCCACCCCCTCAGATAAGGCCATGAGAATGAGAATATTTAAGACCTCTCTCATAGCAGATTTCAAGTGTATGGGATGCTTTCATTACCTATAGGAGCCAGGCCATACAGCAGATCCCAGAACTTACTCATCCTGAATCACTGTTGGAGTGTTCGAGTCATTCACATTTAGTATAAGTGCCAATGTATACTTTGGTTTGAATGTATTGTCCTGTTTAAATCTAAATCTGTTATCTTGCCTTTTCTTGTGTATTAGTAAGGTTTTTTCCCCCTCTTTGGAGTTATTTAAGACTGGGTTTTGTTTTATTTTTTGGTTTTGGGGATTTTGTTTTGTTTTGTTTTGTTTTTTATTCTATCGTTTGGTTTTTTACTACCATTTACAAAAATGTCTCTGTGAGTTACTAGAATTTGCCTTTAAGTTGGTACTTTTACCATCTGCTGTCCAATGGAAGGCCTTCAACTTTACATCACATAATAGAAACTGCTAAAGTTCATGCTGTTGCTGACATTTGTTTTAATTTGCATATAATTTAGTCCCCAAGAGACATTGCTAATTACAATTAATCAGTATTCACTCACTTTTACCAACATATTTTTCTTTCAGTTTTCTTTATTCTGTTTACATCCTCTGCTTCTACCCAGGATATTTTCCTGCCATGATTAATATGTGTGCTGCAGGTCCAGTGGTAATGAGTTGTCTCTTCCAGTCTATCTGAGGTACAGAATTCCATGTTGTTATTGGTTTCCTTTCTGTAAGAAACCATGCTACAGGGAATGCTTTCAGCCTATAAGTCTGCAAGAATCCACACCCTCACTGCGTGGAAAGTCTCCCTTTATGGGATTCTCCCAGAGCGTTTTGAACTTTGTTTTGTTTTTCCAAGACAGGGTTTCTCTGTGTAACAGCCCTGGATGTCCTGGAACTCACTCTGTAGACAAAGGTGGCCTCAAATTCACAGAGATCTGCCTGCCTCTACCTCCCAAGAGTGCTGAGATTAAAGGCGTGCACGTGCCACCGCCACCACCCCAGCAAGTTTTAACTTGCCATCAGCATGCAGTCTCCAGCCTGTAAGAGTACTGCCCATTGGCAAAAGATCTGTGCCTAGGTCATTTCTGAGTGGTTATACATGCTGTTGCGCTTTTGTTGTGACTCTCACATTTTATTGTGAGTATATAGAAATACAATTGATTTGCAAATATGGATCTCATCTCCTGTGACCTTTACAAACTAATTACGGGACTTTGTAATTTCCTTCTGATTCTCTACGTAACCATCATGTCATCTGAAAATAGGACTGTTATCTCTTCCTTTCTAATCTGTAACTGCAAATGGTATTCTTAGCATCTCTCACTGGGAGGATTATGGTATGGGGGTCCACACAGATGCTCTCGAATGGGGGCTTCCCCTCATGTAGAAGAAAAGCACTTGTTCTTTCACCATTCAGAATGCTGTATGGACTTGCAGGTGTTCCTTGTTAAGTTCAGGGAGCTCCTTCCTAGTCTTTTTTTTTTTAAAGATTTTATTTATTTATTATGTATACAACATTCTGCTTCCATGTATATCTGTACATCAGAAGAGGGCACCAGATCTCATAAGGGATGGTTGTGAGCCACCATGTGGTTGCTGGGAATTGAACTCAGGACCTCTGGAAGAGCAGTCAGTGCTCTTAACCTCTGAGCCATCTCTCCAGCCCCCTAGTCTTAATCAATAAGAGTATTGACTTTCATTAAATGGTTTTTCTCCATTTGTGTGAATGATTATCTGGTCTGCTTCTTCTGTAGTTTATTGCAATGGATTATGCTAATTGATATTTTAATATTGAGCCAACTTTTCACTCTTAGAATCAGTCTCACACGATCACACCGTGTAATTCTTGGTATCTATATCTGAGAGCAGTTTGTTTACAACTGTTGAAATCTTTGAAGCATATTCATGAGAGATTTCTGACTATATTTCTTGGTACCTTCGCCTGGTTTTGGTGTCAAGAAGCAAGCATATTGTATGTATAGTATCATTTAGTTGGTTGGATGGTTGGTTGGTTGGTTGTTGAAACAAGATCTCACTGGACAACTCAGACTAGCCCCAAATATGCAATCCTCCTGCATCAGCACTGATAACAGTTATGAGCCAACCATGCCCAGCTAGGATTTGTTTGAGTGTGACTCAGTTCTTTATCGTTGCTGCTTGTTCTGGGTGTTACAGTGCAGACACTACCTTGTCAGAGCTGACTGGTGTAGAGACTTAGCTACCTTTAAGGAAGCATATACATCTTATCTGCTTCTGTGACCCCTCATTCTCTACCATTCATCTGGCTGTCTTAAATACTCTACAGACACAGAGACAAACTATGTAACTTTTGGTCTCAGAGAAGAAAAGCTTATTTTACCCCACCCCACTCCACCCCATTTTTCTCTTCATAGTTTGAGAAAAGGAAACCTTTCATCAATATTTGGGACTGTGTATCACACACACACACACACACACACACACACACACACACACACACACACACACACACACACACACCTATTCTCTGCCTTTCTGAGCATCTGTTCTAACATGAACTTCCTTTCCAGGTCGCCTTAACTGGTGGTCTACTGTGTGCACAAGCTGTAAAAGGCTTCTTCCTTTGGCCACGACAGGGGATGGGAACTGCCTCTTACATGCCGCCTCACTGGGTAAGCACCACAGCACCAAAAGAGGCCAGTGGGGCTCTGGGTCTATTTGATGCATGGTTAACAACATTCATGCTGTTGTCATCAGAATGCCTGTGACATCCTGGCCCTTCTGGTCAGGTTGGGTTGGTGACAAGACAGCAGTGTGGGGTAAATACCTGTCTTGCTAGGCAACCTTGAGCAGGAGTTTCAAGGACAGCCCATAGAAAGGGTACTCTGGAAGAATCTAAGAGGGCTTCCTGGAGGATGCTGGATCTTTAGTGAGACTTGAAAGAATGGAAGACACCATGGGCAGGAGACAGCACAGACAAAACAAAAGGCAGAAATCATGGGGTGTTCAGAGGCAACAGAGCTATGCTGGATGAGGCTCCAGCAGGAAGACTTGGGAGCAGTGTGTGGCACAGGGTAGTGTGGGGGCTGCCTGTGGACAGCAATCTGTGATGAGAAGAAGGCCCATGTAGGCATATTCAGGTAATCACAGGTACACAGCACATGCATTTGCTGCCTTCCCCAGGGAAGCCATCAGCAGATACACAGCTGTGCATGGCGATATTAGATAACTCAAGGTCTCAGTAGACTTCCTAGAATCTCTGTCTTAGGACCATTCTTGCTGTGTGACAGGCAAGTCTAGATTTGTACCAGAGGCCTGAACATCAGGTCCATGGCTCTTCATCATTCCTAGAAGACTGTCTCTGCCAAGGGAACAGGATCCCCAGATAAGAACATGACTCTTATTATGTTTCCAGTTAAATGGAACCCGATCAAGGGCCAGGCCCACATCATATTTAGACCAGAGTGGGGCCTGCTCAGTACAAGACAGGCCAAGAGGACACTGGAAAGAGCTCTGAGCAGTGTGACTCAGAATGGGCCCAAAGAGGCCCAGAGGTTCTGAGACCTCGATTAGTACATGGGTATGATGGCAGCAGTGGGGAAGAAAGGCAGTCACTTCGTGCTTCCTCCCCACAGCAGGGCCAGCACATTCTGCTGATGCCATTGGGCATTTGCGGTGGTACACACCTTTAATCCCAGCACTAGGGAGCAGATAGCTATGAGCCAGGGCTACACAGTGAGACCTGCCTCCAAAAACAATGAGGACAAACACGAAGGCTGCCAAAAAACAGACTCGGTCTTCTCCAGGGATGAACTCCCTAATAGGTTGTCCAGTCCCAAACAGTCAGCCCTAAACATATATACATATAAGCAACACCAAGTGAACTCACCAGGTGGGATCTATACATATCTATGTGTGTATGTAACAGTAAAACAGATAAGAGGCCATGAATCTAAGAAAGAATTGGGGAGGGAGACACAGGAGGAGTTGGAGGGAGGAGACAGAGGGGGGAAATGATGTAAATACAGTACTCGTTTACTCGTATGAAACTCTCAAGAAATAAAAAAACACTCAGAATAAAAATATTTAATTTTTTAAAATTAGAAAAAGTCCACTTCCCAGCAGCTTCCTTGGTTAGGTCTCACTCCTCAAAAGTCCCACAGCTGTGCAAAACCACCATCTAGGGACCAAACATGCAGTCACCTGAACTTGTGGGGAAAATTCGCATACAAACCCTAACAGGAATCCCCATTTTGCTTGTTAAATCATTTTCAGGCTTCTACTGTAGTTAAGTATATCAAGGAGTGTGTTTCCCAGTATGGCAGCTGGGATTGTGGAATATTTGAAATGTAGCTGCTACCAATGGAAGCACTATGTAATTCTACAATGCACCTAGACTTTGAAGGTGTCATGTGGAAAACAACATAAAATATCTTATTACTTATTCTTAATGATTGTATACTTAAAATGACATTTAGATATCTTGAACTAAATGAAATTTGTAATTAAAACTCAAAACAATATTAAAATTTTAATTACTTTATTGTAATGAGCTCACAAATAAAAACTTTAAAGGAATCACACAGATTAAGGTGGCCACTCAAATATTATGCATCTCCAACTCTTTTGTATTTCAGTAAACTTCTACATAGGGTTTTACACTTTCACTACCAATTACATATTTATGGAGTTATCCCCCACAAAAAGAAAAAAAAAACTGTGGCAAAGTTGAAAGCAGAGAGAAGGAAGGGGAAAGGAAGTAAATAGAAAGAATTCATTCTGCAGCCACATTACTCATAAGGAAACTAACACCCCAACTGAGGGCCACTTTCAATACTGCACATATTATCTCCCCATTTTATATACCCACCATGTTCACTTCCAAATCCAACATTTTCTACTGACCTTTTTCAACACGTCTTTTTATTTTTAATTGACAAATAATAACTGTACATCTTTATGGAGGGTTGGACATCTTGAATTTTCATTACAAATTTCCTATTCCTTTCCTCCCCTAAAATGTGATTTGGTCATTGGGTCTTATTTGTTACTGTTTCCCTAGCGCTGTTCACTTTTTCACCTAAAGCCTGGAGAACAGATCACTGGAGAGCCGCTCCTGTCTCGGAGTCTCTTTGCATCTTGTTGCAAAGGCTCCTGTATGGAGATGTCTTGTCCTTCACATACCTCGGGTGATGGAGCCTCCGTGCTCAGCAGCGCCTCAACTGATGCTGTTTTCTCTATGAGCATGATGGGCCTCTGAGGCCTCCCTCCAGCCTTGCTCCATCTGCAGGAGAGGCCAGGCCATGGTTGGCCTGGAAACAGGCTCTCTACCAATGCCCTGCAAAACTGGATGCTTGGAACCCACAGGTCCTTTACTCCAGTACAGGTTGTATACCCCTAATCTGAAAATCCAGGATCTGAAACTTCCTGAGCATCAACATGCCACCATAAGTGGAAAATTCCACAACACAAACCTCTGTTTCAAGCAAAAATCACTTTAAATGTAACAGAAATTACCTTTAGATCTGTGCACAAATACATAGGCAACGTCAATGAACTTTATATTTAGACTTGCATTCTCTCCCCAAGGTGTCTGTGTATGTCCATATCCCCAAATCAGAAGCTCTCCTGACTCCAGACATTTTGGAAAAGTGTTCTCAGCCTGTACTTGCTTTGCATTTGTGCTGACACAGCAAAACTCCAGCCATCCAGGACCACCAGAAGCATCCATGTGACCACACCAGTACCATGGGGGATACACCTCCTGACCAGGCCTGACTGAGCAGGATAGTGGGCACACATAAAAACAACAGTCACTGGGGCTATAGAGACAGCTTAGTCAAGAGCCAGAACCAGAGTTTGGTTTCCAGAACCTACTACAAGAACTCCTATAACTATGATCTGGCTCCCTCTTCTGGCCTCTGAGACAACTGCATGTGTGAGCATGAGTGCTTGCCTGCATGCCTGCATGCCTGCATTTACACAAATAAATCTTTAAAAAAAAAAAAAAAAAAAAAAAAATGACAGTTGTCCTGTCAGGCAGGCAAATGTGTTTGAAACAAGGAAAACCTGTGTGAGAAAGACCTTCAAAGAGCTATGGAAGCAGAGCCTGTCCAGGGAATGCCAGGTGGGAGGAAACGTGTCTAGAGATGAGAAAGGAACGATGGTGGTCATTTCTCTCCACCCATTCTACTGGGAAAGACAAAAGCCTGGGATGCTACTGCCCATGGCAGTCTTTGGTTATTGCCTATCTGGAGGTCACAGCCCACAACCAATTCCAGTCATGCTCTAAAAGCTCCCAGCTCATTTGCAAGCTGGCCTGTTTCTGCTCTGCCTCATCCTCTTCATCCTGGGCCTAACCGCCTCTACCTCTTGCCTTTTCTCAAATGCACCAATGCCTGCGAAGAGCTGTCTGCCTGGCATGGCAACTCAGCTCCATCCTTCGTCCATTTGAACCTTTTGTGGATATCTCCATCCACTCCCACCATAAGGCATGCACCTGCCCACTGCCTTTACCTGCTTTGTCTCCCCTTGTGTTGTGAACATTTTACATTTTGCACTCATTTAATAGCTACTTCACTTCTTACTTCCATACAATATATGCTCACAAATTGAATAAACTTTGTTGTGCCATGAATATTCCCAGCGCCTGGGATGGATGGATGGATGGATGGATGGATGGATGGATGGATGGATGGATGGATGGATGGATGGATGGATGGATGGATGGATGGATGGATGCATGGATGGATGGATGCATGGATGGACGGATGCATGGATGGATGGATGCATAGAGGGATGGATGCATGCATGGATGGATGGATGCATAGAGGGATGGATGCATGCATGGATGGATGGATGCATAGAGGGATGGATGCATGCATGGATGGATGGATGCATAGAGGGATGGATGCATGCATGGATGGATGGATGCATAGAGGGATGGATGCATGCATGGATGGATGGATGCATAGAGGGATGGATGCATGCATGGATGGATGGATGCATAGAGGGATGGATGCATGCATGGATGGATGGATGCATAGAGGGATGGATGCATGCATGGATGGATGGATGCATAGAGGGATGGATGCATGCATGGATGGATGGATGCATAGAGGGATGGATGCATGCATGGATGGATGGATGCATAGAGGGATGGATGCATGCATGGATGGATGGATGCATAGAGGGATGGATGCATGCATGGATGGATGGATGCATAGAGGGATGGATGCATGCATGGATGGATGGATGCATAGAGGGATGGATGCATGCATGGATGGATGGATGCATAGAGGGATGGATGCATGCATGGATGGATGGATGCATAGAGGGATGGATGCATGCATGGATGGATGGATGCATAGAGGGATGGATGCATGCATGGATGGATGGATGCATAGAGGGATGGATGCATGCATGGATGGATGGATGCATAGAGGGATGGATGCATGCATGGATGGATGGATGCATAGAGGGATGGATGCATGCATGGATGGATGGATGCATAGAGGGATGGATGCATGCATGGATGGATGGATGCATAGAGGGATGGATGCATGCATGGATGGATGGATGCATAGAGGGATGGATGCATGCATGGATGGATGGATGCATAGAGGGATGGATGCATGCATGGATGGATGGATGCATAGAGGGATGGATGCATGCATGGATGGATGGATGCATAGAGGGATGGATGCATGCATGGATGGATGGATGCATAGAGGGATGGATGCATGCATGGATGGATGGATGCATAGAGGGATGGATGCATGCATGGATGGATGGATGCATAGAGGGATGGATGCATGCATGGATGGATGGATGCATAGAGGGATGGATGCATGCATGGATGGATGGATGCATAGAGGGATGGATGCATGCATGGATGGATGGATGCATAGATGGATGGATGGATGCATGGATGCATGGATGCATGGATGGATGGATGGATGGATGGTAGAAAGGTGAAAGAATGAGTTGACAGTTAGATGGATTCTCCTTTTCCCCCTGCAGCCATGGCTGTAGCTCATTTCAATGTGCTTCTCATTGATGGGGTTCCTTGACCATGTCCTAGCCACCCACAGTTTGTACTCAGAGATAGATGGCTTGTCCTTTTAGTCCCTCAGCACCAACCTCAGTGGAGTCCTTCTCCCCAGGAAGCAAGGTCCCTGTAATGCCCCAGACATATGCAGAGGTACCAACTGACACTGCTGCTCAGAGAGCTCAGATGCCCTGTGCTAGGACTTCACACATCATCTGTAGTGGGCCTTAGGGAAGCCAGAATCCTATCGGTCATGCACATATGGGGCCCTCTATGAGGATATGTCACCAACTTGTCCCCAATCTCTCACCCAAACCCAAGACCTGTGGTGAGTATTTGGCCTCTCCAGAAAAACCTGCAGGAGAGGGTATGTAGCCTTAGGTCCTAGAGAGAGGCAGTTCTTGCCCTTCACCTGCTGTTGTTTTGTTAGGACAGGAAGTACAGCTTCATTCACATATCTGAGCAGCAAGAATGCACACATAACAGCATGCTGTTGGCGGAGGGCTGCAAGCCTGTGGTGACACTAAATAGCTGTCTGACATGGCAGTTCCTTCCTGTGCACCTATGTGGGAGGTCAGCCTGCTGAGTTGTGACCCTTTGCATCTCCTCTGACTGATCTCTTATGTCACTTCCTTCTCTGTCCCTCATGGCCTCCTGGCTGCAGGAATGTGGGGCTTTCACGACCGGGACCTGGTTCTGCGGAAAGCTCTCTACACCATGATGAGGACGGGTGCTGAGCGGGAAGCCCTGAAGCGGAGGTGGAGGTGGCAGCAGACACAGCAAAACAAGGAGGTTGGTACCCGCCTCTGCTGGAGCAGGGCTGCACGTGGATGCAGCCTCTGGCTGGGCTATAACCCAGAGGAGCCCTGTTACAAGCGCAGGGTGGACAGCAGCACACCTCCTACTCACACCTCCCATGCAGCTGTGGTTAGGAAAGTCTTCCTTGGCATTTACATTGCCTCAGCATGGCTAATGAAATATGTAGACATGCACTGATCTGCGATGCTCTTGGCCCCCTCGATCCAGAGGAATCCTCGGCAGCCCCTAGCCATGGTGGCATTAGCACTCTTTTCCACAAGAAGAATCGGCCTATATTTGGGGTAAAATGGCTTGTTGGCCCTTTAAGCTGTGCCTTGGTCAGCCCCAGCCAGGGTCACTCATTCTCACAGGAGTGACCTTGATAATGGGAGGACTCCCAACAGCTCTGAAATCAGGGCTGGAATTTCTGATAATACAGTAAGAGTGGCCTTCAGGGGACACCAACAGATGTGACCAGGCTGGATCCTAGTGGGACTTAGGCCAAGCTGGGTGGCCACCTTGGTGGGAGGAGGGGGTAAAGGCAGGTGAGACAGCCGCTGCTTCCTGAACCAGCTTCCCTTCGCGCCAGTCAGGGCTGGTGTACACTGAGGAGGAATGGGAGCGAGAGTGGACAGAGCTGCTAAAACTGGCCTCCAGCGAGCCTCGTACACACCTCAGCAAGAATGGCAGCGGCACAGGTGGTGGGTGAGTGCTACCCTGCTCTCCTGTGGGTCTTCCAGAGCTCCTGGATACTCAGGGCCTCAAAGAGCTTGGGGAGGAGAGGAAGCAATCCTGCATGCTAACCAGGTAGCAGAAGACAGGGAGTGCCCATTATAAATGAGGCCAACATAGGAGGGGAGAGGAGGTGGGACACAAGTACCCACGCTCCCTACACACGAGCTCATGAGAGCTGCCCAGCTCTGTCTCCCTCAGGCTCATCATACAAAGCAAACAGTAGTAGGTAGGGCACTCAGGGCATAGCCAGGCCTGGATGAGGCCTGGAGGAGCTGGTCTTTGCCACAGCTGTCATTGCGTACACAGGGCTGTGAAAACACCAGCCAATGTTTATAGAGTTTTTCCTTAATCTATTTAGTGTGTGTTTTCAAGTCACACTGAAAGCAAGAGGTCATCACACCACCGCAGCGCTTCCCAAATGGACTCCATGGATAGGATGTGTAGTCTTAGCCCCAAGGCCGTGCACACTGTGCATTCAAAAATAGCTTGCTCCTGCAGGTCAGCTCCAGCGTTCCACTGTGGGAATGAAGAGCAGGCCAGTCCAACAGGCACACTGTGGAACATTTGGCCACGAAATCTCAGAAGGTGCATTCTTTGATTTTTGCTCCTTTGTCCTGAAGGAAAAGGTATCACCCCAGAAAATGTCTCTGCCACAGCACAAAGAATGAGGACTGACACCAAGAACACAGAACTGCGCATCACCAAGAACACGTGAACCAGCCTCATGTTCACAGGCCAAGGCAGCCTCTGGGCCCACTGGGCCTAGCCCTCTGGCAGCTCCAGCTGGAGGATGCATTCCAGCAGAGCCCACAGTGGCACCATATGGAGCTGTGTTCCGACATGAGACTTGGGTGCAGAAACCCACAATTCCTATGGGCTGCTCATCGCTTAGTTTTAGTGAGATGACAGGTCAGCCCCAACAGCCCATCCTGTGTCCAGGCAGGCATATTTGAACAGTTGAAGACTCATTCCTGAAAACTTAGCTCTTGTCTGTTCCATGCCCTCCAAGTCCCAGGTGTTCCTTCCAGTCCATGTTTCCTTCACTGTTGGACTTCCCACACTTGCCAAGGAGAAGAACAAATCTCTTCTGGGAAAGCGTAGGTGGGAGAAAGGAGAGTAACAGCAATCAAGTATGATTGTCTGTTTTCCATTGCTATAACAAGTTTCCTGAAACTAGGTACTTCTAAAGAAAAAAGTGTAATATACTGTTTAGGGAATAAGCAAAAAAAAAAAAAAAGTTCATCTAGTTCTTTAGTGCTTATCTCCATTGGTTGAATCTTCGGATGTGGAACCTACAGGAATCTGTATGTTTTGTTTGGGGGAAGATGTGAATATATGTGCATTCTCAAGAATGCAGGCACATGTATGTGCATTCTCATGTGTGCCCGCACATGGATACATATAGAAGCCCCAAATTAATGCCTGTTGTCTTCCTCAGTCACCCATTTCTTTATTTATTGGGATCCATTTTCTCACTGGAGCTTACAAATTTGATAGCCTTAGCTGGCCAGCTAGCCTTGGGAATCCCTTGTCTATATCACAAGTGCTAGGATTACAGGCAGCCAGCCACCACACCTTTTATGCCTAGGTTCTGAGGAGCCTAACTCTGGCCCTCACGAGCACAACCACTGTATCCATCTGCCCAGCCAGAGCTGTTTGTTTTAAAGCAAAACTTGTTTTAAACATTCCTCTTCTACTTTCTTTCCTAAAACAACTCTACCTTCAAGTCATTTGGTAGACAAAGCAGGGTAGGGTGTCTGCAGTGGGTGGACAATGGGAGAACACAAAGGACGGTAGCAAGTGCCAAGGCCAGACAGGGTGGAGCACTGTGGGGGATGACAGCCGAGATGGGAGACTGCTTACAGGCCAAGAGATGGCTTCAAATGAGGGGGAAAGGTGGGATAGTTGCAGGCAGTTCCCCTCTGTGCAGGAGGAAGTTATAGGAAGGATGAACTTTGTCAGCATTAGGCTGCAATGAGAGTACTCATGGACTTAGCATGTCCCAGGGCAGCTGTGGGACACGACTCACAGGCAGCCAGAGAGGATGGTATATGTGCCCATACGGTCCAATCTTCTTGTGCCAAAGAATGAGGAAGTAATCCAAAAGAATGGCAAGGATATGTCATAAGGACACAGACCAAGCTGAAATAAGTGAGGATGGCCAAATCAAAGTATATTTGCACATCATAATAGCACAAACGGATTATTAGTCATTTAGTAAAAGTATAAGACAAGAACTCCACAGTGCTATCAACAAGCGTGTGAAAGAACAGAGATGTACAGAGGTTCCTAGTTCTCCAGTGGAACACGTGTTGATTATAGAGGTGAGCATCTCTGTGAGGGTGTGGCTGAGAGAAGAGCCAGTGACCGAGGCCCCACCACCGTGGTAGGACAACCTGCAAACGTCACACCACCTGAGAGGACAGTGGAGGACGACTTGGCAAATCATAGGCTAACGTCATAGAGACCCAGGATGAGAAGGTTCCACAAGACACCTGCCCTGTACTCCTCATCGTCTCGGAAGTGCCATGGTTGGGAAATACGGAGCAGCATTGTGGGCTGGGGGAGACTGAAGGAACCAGAGAGAAAGCAGCTCATGGCCCTCAGCTGGGTCCTGCATCTTACAAGTGTCACTGGGACCACTGTGAGCAGGCCTGGTGGCTGCATGTTAGCTTGTCATTTGGGTGGCTATGTCCTGGTGTGTCAAAGGTGGTCCTGTAAACAAGAATCATTCTGATCCCTCTCAGAGTAAAGAGGTGGAAGGCTGGAGAATAACTTCCAGATGGTTCTGTGTGACTTTTTGTGACTTCTGATTACTGCCACATCTTTAACTATCAAATAAAGATAGTGAACCACCAAAGAAAAAGGCAAAATGGAAGAAAGGAAGGAAGGAAGGAAGGAAGGAAGGAAGGAAGGAAGGAAGAAAGAAAGAAAGAAAGAAAGAAAGAAAGAAAGAAAGAAAGAAAGAAAGAAAGCAAGAAAGAAAGAAAGGAAATAATGTAACATGGGATCTCCCCCAAAGGCATGTTGCATGTCTTAGGATTTACAGCCTTTGTTCTAGGAGTGATGGAGACAGTGATGGCCCAGCACTCTGCACATGGAGTTCTTTCCCAGACATCCCAGGCCCCACAGCCATCCCCACCCCCTTGATGTCTTCAGGGAACTGATTCCAGAAGCCCCAGGGGACTGAAATCCATAGAGTCCATCACCTCCTGCAGTACACCATCATCACATTTAGGAGACTTAAACAAGGTCCCACCATCTAAGAGCTCTGGCTCCTTTCTCCTTAGAGGGTAGCCCTGTTGTTGAGGGACATCTAGGTCACAGTCTTCTGCCCCAGTGTCTCACAGTCTGGATGACAGTGATTCTCAGGGCCTACTCTACCCCCGAGGTTAGGCAGGAGCTTGGACCCAGGCTGGGGAGGAACTTTCTCATGACATCTTCCCAGGAACTGTTCTACAGGGTTCCTCAGACCCTGGTAGACAGGGTTCAGTGTTTGGGGGTGCACAGTTCCTACTCAGGGTCCCTTCCTTTTCTGTTCCCCACCCCAGTCTAGTATCATGACAAGATCACTCTGTTTTGTTCCCTAGTGTGGACAACTCTGAAGATCCTGTATATGAAAGCCTGGAAGAGTTCCATGTCTTTGTCCTAGCCCACATATTGCGGAGACCCATTGTGGTGGTGGCAGACACCATGCTGAGAGACTCGGGTGGCGAAGGTAGGATCCTCAGGAAACCATATTTAGTGGTGGTACAGAAAGGGTGACATCTACCTGCACATAGGCAGAGTCATCATGTCACTCTGAGACATACACCAAGATGGCATTATTCCATGTGTCTCTTCTTCCTCCAGTGCAGCACCGATCACCTGTCCTGCATGACACCAGCAAGTGACTGAGAAATCTGCCCAACCACCACAGACAGCACAGATCCCTCTGAAAGCCCCAGGCCCTGTTCCAGAGGTTCTGTAGGACAGAGTATTAGAGAGGAGAGGAGGAGGGCAGAGTGGGAGCTCTGGAGGGTAGTAGAGAGTCAGGAACTAACTGCAGGAGTAGCCAAGCTGCTGTTGTCCATCCACTGAAAGCCTGGCCCATGTGCGGCTTCTTCTTCAATGACCCCTCCCTCAGCTCCTCACACAACCTTCCCCAGATAGAGAAGTACACTGAAGCCCCAGTATGGCTAGACAATACCCCCATCCAGGTTCAGCCTGAGACAGGATATAGACCCTCGCATGTCATCCCCAATCCTGGAGCTTCTGGGAGTCCAAAGAGCTGTAGGAAGGATGGCTGAGACGCCACAGGGTTGGCTATGCTCTGAAGAGGAAGAGCCAGGAGCTGCCCCACTCAGCAGACCCCACTCTTTCCAGCACTTTCCAGTACCCAGCACTTCCCATTATGTGATTCATTTTCCATTCTGCTTGGCAGCACCGGTGCAATCCAGTTTACTCTTACTGCCATTTTTTTCCTTGTTTTGTCACTTCTAAAGATGGCATCATCCACAACATCTCTTTACTACAGCATGCCACTCAGGTGACCCCATGACATTTCACTCGGCTCCACTTAAATGTCAATCTATCCCATAGCAGAAGTCATGAACCTCCTGTAGCCCTGCCAGCCAGGCTTCAGTCTTCATGTCAGAGAAACAGCAGCCTGGCTGGGGCTGCCCTGAGGGCAGGGGCTAGCAGAATATGTGTCCTGCCCTGCACTACTCTCCTCCCTGCTGCCCAGCACCAGAGCCAGCCGCCAGGGCAGCCTGCCCATGTTTCTTCCTCTTATTAAAGACCTCAAAACGGGATTCTTATGAGGACAGAATTGTCCTGCCCAGTACAAACTGAGTGAAGGGGGGCATTAAAAGGACCTTAGAGACCATTCTAAAGGTCCCTGTGCTCTGCTCCGAGGAGGTTTCGAGTCCCACTCTGAGGCCAAAGGCAATGTTCTTTGTGAACAAAACCCCAGATGCTAGGCTGGTGGTATGGCTCAGTGGGTAGACAGCTTGCCTAGCATGCACAAAGCCCTGGTTCCATTCCAGCACTACATAAAATGGGCATGGTGGTACATGCCTGTAATCCCAGAACTCATGGGGCCAAGTCAAGAGAATCAGAAGTTCAAGGTCATCTTCAGCTATGTAGTGAGTCAGGGCTACATGAGACCTTTTTCAGTGGGGAAAAGAAAAGAAGGAGAGAAAGAGCTACTGCTTGGGGCAGGTGTTTATGGAAGTGGTTTTTAGACTTCTCTTCCCTTGTTCTTCATAAGAACATGAACAGGATGGTGTCTCATCACACAAAGATAGCATCTCTACTTCTTGTGTTCCACCTGATCTGCAGCTCAGTATCAGAGCTCTCTGGCTTGTCCCTTCTGTTCCACAGAAGTCATTTTCAAAATATGCACCAGGCACTATCGGGACATGTAGGTCCTGCCTGTGTGTGAACATTAGAAGAGAAAGGACAGGGTGGACTTCTAGACAAGCTAGTGGGTGATATCGCTGACCATCTTGGGCAATGGTCTTAGCCCTGACCCTGCCACTCTTTTGACTATGGTGTAGCTCTTGGGCACAGGCTACCCAGACAGATCACCATGGAAACCTTCAGTCCTGGCCTTGCTCACTAATTCTACTCCCCCTCCCCACATCGACCCACCACTCCCTTTCTCTGTACTCCCTTCCCCACTCTTCCACTCCGCCTCTACCCTGTCTGTACCCACAGCGTTTGCACCCATCCCATTTGGAGGGATCTACCTGCCCCTGGAGGTGCCCCCCAACAGGTGTCACTGTTCGCCCCTGGTTCTGGCCTATGATCAAGCGCATTTCTCAGCCCTTGTGTCCATGGAACAGAGAGACCAGCAGAGAGAACAAGGTTGGTCCAGCTCCTGAGACATGATGGGGTAAGGTGGTGTGGAGGGATGGAGGAAGCTGGAGATGTGGTATGTGTGGACAACTGCCTAGAGCACATGCACACACAAGGAGCAGCCATGGTGTCTGCATAGCCATGCCCAGTAGGTATGCATATGTGTTCACAAACAGCAATAGCATTAGAGGTAAGGGTCCACCTAAACCACTTAGGAAATGAGGTACCACTGCCTGTACTTAGCTGTTGGTTTCTGTCATGGGCATATGTAAATTTTCTATAATTTAACTAATTTTAACTGACACATAAAATCAAGTGTATTCGTGTTGTATTTCAGTGTATATACACTATGTAGTACTCTAGTCAGGGAAAACGTATCTACCTTCTCCAACATTTATTACTTCTTATGTTGAAAATGTTCAAAATCCTTGCTTTTAGCCTTTTGAAATACATGCTGTGTCCTTAGAGGGGATTTTAGCTGTAAAACTAATTATTGCTAATGTCCTATGTGAATTTTTGTATAGATGCAATCCACCTTAGATAGAGTTGGAAAACAAAGTCCCTTCAGAGCAAGTATTGGCAAGCTGTGGCCCAGCACTTAGTTTGCAAATAGTTTTTTACTAGCACACAGCCAAGCTCATTGCCTGACATTTTCCCTGTGGCTGCTTTGCAATTGGGCAGCAGACTATGTGTGTGGCCTGATGGCCTCTGACATTCATTTGCTAGCACTGTTCATGAAAGGATGCCCACTCCTGCTTACACTAGTAAGCTTTTGAACCAAAAAGTCAACACTTTATCTATGAATCACTATAGTTAGGTTTCCCGAAAAAAGCTATCTCAGTGCTGATGGGCAGACCTGACCAGCGCCACGTGCTATGCACAGTGCACACCTGTGGCTATCAGTAAGGCACTGGTGGGGCTGATTTATAGCCGCTGTGCTGTCCTGCTGGCAAAGAGGACATTCGTTTGCTCTCTCATGTTAGCTATGATGGATATGTGAGTGGTGTCTGAGTAGAGCAGACAGGCTTTCGTGTTGCCACGAAATCTATACTTATTTTCAGTATAGATTGGAATTTTCCTCAGGAGACTGAAAGTCAGTGTTTTAGGGTTCCTGACCTTAAATGTGGTTCTAGGAAACCCCAGGTGGTTGGTCCAGGGCTTCCACAAGCTGGAAGCTTGGGGTGACCCTCCTGACTCTTTACACTGAGGATATCAGAGCCTCCACATCCTGTCCCTTCCTGTGGACAACTGGCAAGGTGGGACATAGACAATGTCCAGGCCCTACCTCCTCCAGCCCCTATCAAGCACCCTTCCACATATGTTCCTGGTCTGATGGCCAGTCAGAGAGTCTGCAGGTCTGGGATGGGATCTGAATCCCTGGCCCCCTCCCCAAAAGCCAAATCAAACCCCAGCTCACATGCTGTATAGCCAGAAATGGGTCCCAGCATTGAAGGTAACAGACAGTTGTTCATCACTCTCTCACTACCTCTGACCACCAAAAGAGGCTCTCCATTGCCAAAGCCTGGTGCCTGGTGCCTGCCTCCTTCCCTATGGTTTTGCTTTGCTTCTGTTTTAGTTTGGTCTGAGATGAGGTCTTCCTCCATTGTCCAGGATAGCCTCCAGACCCCTGGACTCAGTGATCTTCCTGCTTCAGATCTCTCAGTTGCTGAAACCCTATGCACATGAAGGCAACCACCCTTCACACTATAGCCCTTGCAGGGCAAAAGCCTTCCTCAGGGTGTGGTGTGGGCCAGGACTGGGCCTCCTTGTCAAGTGTCCCAAGATCCCCTGAGGTCTGCTTCAAGTTCACAGTTTCAGATCCCCCCAGAGGTCTTCCAGCTGCAACCTCCAAATGCCTTTCCCGTGACATGATAGCTGTGAGAGGTACTCACTCTAGGAAATGTGGCAGAGTGAGGGTGTTTCACCCTGAGGGACAAGCTTTTTCCATGTTCTGGCCCCAGAGCATAGTGCAGATAACTCTTGGGTTCTGTGGCTGTCTGAGTCCCTCCAGGGTCTCTGTGTGTCCTGCCTCCTAGGCCACTACATGCCCAGAACTGCACATTTGCCCTGCCAGTTCTCACAGACCAAGTTAGAGCCCTGGAGAGGATGCAGGGTCTATGGAAGATATACCTCTATAGAGCTATTACCAACAGTGGCTCTGCCATCAGCCAAGGGAGACACTGTAGATGTGGGTAGCTGACATCCTGGATGGCCCAAAACCTGAATACATTGTCCCTGTGTGTGGCCTTCCCCCACAGTAGGCACTCACCAACTGCCAACACAGCAGCAAAACTAGCATTGATATTTCTATGTTTCTCCATGACTTCACTGTGGCTGTGGGCCTTGATAACAGGCTTTGATTACTTTTATTTACTTACTAAGTTAAAAAAGCTTCCCCTTTCTGCTTCAAGGAAGTACTTCCTGGCTTCTCCTTGCATGCAGGTCTAAATCCCATCATTGCTGCTTTGTACTCTGGGGCCCATGGATAAGGGGTGGCATGCACAAGCACAGAGGTCCCTGACTGACAGCAGACAGCTAATGACAGCATCTACTGTGTGGTCTCAGTGACAAAGGGATGCTTCGCGCACATGAGAGGTGTGAAGTTTCTTCACACAACTCAGAGCAATACACAGTTTCATCTTGTGAATTGTTGGTTTCTGGAATTTTCTATGAAATATTTTAAATCATGGCCATCTATAATGAAACTGCAGAAGCTTCAGATGAAGGAGCTCCTGCTTCGCTATTCCATTCCCTGTGCCGCCCGCAGAGAACCAGTAGAAGAGCCTCTGTTCCCCCACTGCCCACGTTAGCCATATACTCCTTTATCCTGTGATGGAAGGACAAGAGCAGTCCCACGGGCATGTACTGAGCAACATCTCTGCATCCCTCCTTAGACCTCTCTCCACTATTTAGGGAGAGGAAGACATGTGACAAGCATTCGGGACCGTAGTCTAATGGGAAGGGCAGGTAGACCGGGGTGGGGCTTGGAACTGGTCTTGGAACTGACCAGTCATGATGCAGGTACAAAAGTAGCCTGGACAGAAGTGACAGGCTGTTATAAAATGCCAGTGACCTAGCAGAGCAGACTCATGTGTCCAGTGTAGTGCAGAGTGACCCTGTGCTGTCCAGAGCAGGGCAGGAGGATCCTGTGCTGTCCAGAGCAGGGCAAGACAAGTCTGGGCTGTTCAGGACAGGGCTTGGGACAGACTCACACTGTGTGCATTACCAAATGCCTTTTCTTCCTATAATTGCCTTTTCACTGGAAAGAAAGGCAGCCCTTCCTTGAAGACTTGTGCTAAGCTGAGCTTCCCATTTGGCATTCCTAGTTATGAAGCAGCCTAAGAAATAAAGTATAGTGGGGAGAAAAAAGACGTGCTGTGTTTCCGAGCAGCTCCGCTGGGAGTTGCACTTTTTCGCTAGCAGTGTCTGCTCATCAGGGAAAGGCCCAAATACAGAAACTGGATCCTTACTAACAGGCCTTGTCTGGAAACACTAAGCTGGCTGCTAGGCTCTCAGACAGATGAGTGGCTCATTCTCCTAGCAATCAAGAATGTCAGAGGTTCATGGCTATTGTCTTGGGTGCAAGCTCTACCTAATGGTCACTCACACCCTCTCCAGCTCAAGATTCAAGGGTAGAGTGTGCTCGTCTAGCAGTGGTGCCAGCATCTGACTTGGTGACACAGTCCTCTGCTTCCCACCCTCCTATGTACACACCTTTCTTTCCTTCAGCTAGGGTCTAAACAAGAGCCTCACCGACAGCTTCAGAGCCTGAGGTCAGCTGGCTGTGTTGGGCTCTACCCTAGTACCACCTAGCTTGAATGAAGCATGACACTGCCTGTAAATACCTGTCAACCCTCAAAGATGAGGTTCTGGAGCTGGAGAGATGGCTCAGTGGTTAAGAACACTCGCTGCTCTTGCAGGGGACCAGGTTCATTTCCCAGTTCTATGTAGCTTACAACCACCTATAACTCCAGTTTCAGGGAACTGACACTCTCTTCTGGCCTTTGAGGGTACTAAGCAATCATGAGTTACACATACATACATGCAGGCATTTACAACATGCACATAAAATAAAAATAAATCTCTAAAAATTAAAAAAATGAGTCACCATGCCATCCCCATCCCTGAGGCCAGGCAGCTTTCTTACCATGGTCTTCTCCCCTCACAGTACACACGAACACCAATTGGATATCTTCACAGGAAACAAAGCCCAACTCATAGTGACCTAGGCTGGATGTGTTTGCCTTTGTAATGGCTTGCAGCCCAGAAGCATGCGGCCCTCCACCTGAGGCTTGCAGAATGCCCCAGGACCAGAAACCAGGTCCCCCTTGATTGACCATGGTTGGGTCTAGGGTGGGAAATTGGGGCAGAGATCCAGGATCATCACATCTTGCCAGAAAGCAAGATGCTGCCTAAAATACCTGTGTGTTGTCAGAGGGCAAGTCCAGATGGAGAAGTGCATGACGGGCAAGCAGAGATGGTGAAGATGGACTGGAAGGGCCCAGGCCTCTGGAGGATGGCTGCATGCTGGGGATTTCCTCATCTTGTGATCGGGTGCTCTGAGTCACTGGATCCTGTGGGAACTAGTCATTGGAGGGAGTGTAGGGCAAATCCTGTGTCCCTAGGAAGTGCAGAGAGCATGACTCTCTGAACTGAGGCCCTGCAGTTTATTGTGCAGGGATTATGGAGTGAGTGATGTTTCCCTGAAGTTCACATGTTGGTGTCTTCACCCGCAGTGTGTCACAGTGTGACTGTATTTGCAGCCAAGGTCTTTAAAGAGATTGAAACTCAAGTGGCCCCTGACCCAGTACACCTCTGTATGGAGAGGAAATCGTGGTGTCATGATGCACACCTGTAATCACCAGCACATGGGAACTGAGCAGGAGGACACCGAGTTACAGCAGCCTGGGCCACAAAAAGAAACTCTCTAAAAGAGGGAGAGAGAGAGAGAGAGAGAGAGAGAGAGAGAGAGAGAGACAGACAGACAGACAGACAGACAGACAGACAGA